ATTATTGTCAAACAATTTTCACCAATTCAATGATTTTCAATATCTACTAGTTTCATAAAATTTTTCAAAAGAATTCAATTATTTAAAAAAAAATGTAGACAAAATTCTAAGCAAATATTAAATTATTTTCATAAATAATAAGAATTTCACAGGAATTCAACTATTTACAAATTTTTTTTTAATTTTCTTCGCAATAATTCAATTATTTTCATAAATAACAACATCTTTTAAAAGAATTCAATTATTTTCATTGAATAACAAAACTCATCATAGAATTTCAATTATTTTTAATACATTTTTAATTGAATTCCTCGAAAAATGTAATTATTCTTGAAAATTTTATTAAAATTCCTCGAAAAAAATTCAATTTTAATGATAAAAATCTTTATGATAATTCAATTTCGAGAAATATTCATTTATTCAATAAATTATTTATTTTTGCATTTAAATAATTGAATTCTCGTAGAATTTTCCGATAAAAATTGATTTAAAAATGAATTTTAGATAATAATTGAATATTAAAAACATTATAGCATGAATTCTTAAATACAATTGATAATTGAATTCTTTTGAAGAATTTTAATAAAACTTTTGAAAATAATTACATTTTTTGAAGAATTTACTTAAAATTGTATTAAAAATAATTAAAATCCTGTGAAAAATTTTATTAATTTATGAAAGTAATTGAATTCAATCAATTTTTTCGAAATTTTTTTTTAAATAATTGAATTCATGTGAAAAATTGTATTACTTGTAAAAATAATTGAATTCCTGCAATAAATTTTATTACATTTTATTTAAATAATTAAATTCTTTTGAAAACTTTTATTAAACTAGTAAATTTTGAAAATTTTTGAATTTCAACGAAGAATTTCATTATTTGTGAAATGTAATTTAATTCTTGCAAAAAATTTTTGAAGATAATTTCATTTTTCGAGAATTTTACTTAAAATTGTATTAAAAATAAAATAATTGAAACCCTGTGAAGAATTTCATTATTTATGAAAATAATTGAATTCTTGCAACGAATTGTATTATAATTTTTGTAAATAATTTAATTTTTTTTGAAAAATTTTATGAAAATTAAAATTTTTATAAAACATGAAGATATCAATTGCTCCGAGTCGAAGACTCGGAGTGATTGATATCTTTATGTTTTATAATAATATTCTTATAAGTTGTTGAATTTTAAAAATATTTTAGGGTCAGGGAAAAAGTCAAAATCAGTCAGGAAAAAGTCTGGAAATCAGGGAAATGTCAGGGAAAAACAAAATTAATTTTATGTGGCAACCCTGTGAAATTAAAAATCAAAGTTAATATCAAAGACTTTAAAGTCATTGTCAAAGTAAAAATGAAAGTATTCAATCAATGTCAAAGTCAAAATCGAATCAAAATTCCAAGTCAAATATTAAAAAACTTCAGTCCTAGATTAGACAGTGGATTAAATACAAGAAACAAAGTGTCGAAATAATTTTTATTTAATACAATCATAAATTTTTCCAAGCTTAATTTTTTTGCTCCCAATAAAATTAAAATTTCTTTTCAACATTTTTGTCCAAATCTGTGGAGGCAAAAATAAAGATAAAAAGAAACTAGAACGCGTTAAATATTTATGAAGATGACTAAAAATTTGATTATTTGTGGTCACAGTCACCACTTTTTTTTTTTTTTTTTGCAAAAATAAAATTAATGTCCATTAAAATGGCGATAAATCGATTGATATATTTTTTCCTCAACTCTCAATTCGTATATGTATATATTTATAATCCGATCGTATTTCGTGTATCATTCACTAAAAGACATGTACCGGTCCATAGTAACTCCTCGATAACAAGCTGTCAGTTTATATATTGCAAACTGAGAATAACTCTTCAAAACTTTCTGATCCCCATTTACTTTTACATATACTTTGTCACAACTTTAACGATTTTAATTAAAATGGAAATTCTCCTTTTTTTCATATTTATGAAGATTATAGCTTTAGTTGCAGAAAAAAAGGTTATTTTTTTTTCCTGGAAATTTATTGTGGGGTTTTTTTTTTTAATATTAAACGTTTTGAGGAGATTGCAATTTTTTCAGATATTTAGTTTTTTTTTATTAGTTTATATTATTTTTAATGTAAGTTATATTTTTTTTTATTATTATATTCAACCTTAGTTGAAAAACAAAATCTTATTAAATTTAACTTTATATATTTATTTATTTTAAAGATTTTAAATATATATTTATTTTAAATCTTTTTTTATTTCGATTAAGAATATTATGTAAAAATAGTGAAATTTTATGCTAGAAAAATAATATTCTTAAATAAATAATAATGAGAGGTTAAATAAAATTTCCATTTTTTCATACAGTGATATTTATATTTGTTCCACTAAATATAAACATATTGGAGAGAAAAAAAAACTTGACCATATCAGGTACAAAAAATACATTTACACATAAAATTTATTGTAAAAGACAATTCTGAAGAAAGAGAAAAAATGATAATAATAATCATAAATAAATACAAATAGTAAACAATATTTTTGGATACATAGAAAATTTTTCCGTTAATTAGTTTCGCTACTTATATTAATAATAATTCTTCTTGATATTAAAAAGTAGTCTATAATTTTATTTATAAGCCTATTTATAAAGGGGGCTTGATAACAATTTTCTTTTTTCTAAATTCTAATATACAAATATTGCAAATATAGAAATTACATTTACATGTATAGAAACGTCTATTAATACGCATTTTGTGGTTAGTGACATACACAATATGTTTGGTAACTGGTACATTATACAACTATAAATGTTAATATAATCGTCATTTTTTTATTTAACAAAACGTATAATTATTTAAAATTATAAATAATTAATTATATTATTCATATATTTGTAACAGGAAAAAAGTAAAATATTTTAATTGATAAAAATGAAATTAACATACGCATTTTATTATATTTCATTTATAAATACTATAATTCGAAACAATAATTCCGAGAGGTTCTACTTTTGATATTTTACTCAATTTATTAATTTATTAATTAATTTTTTTGAAATTAAATTAAATTAAATTTATTTTTAATTCAAATTATTTAGTTTAATTAGAATTATAATTATTTAATTAGGTATTTTAATTAGAAATTATAAAAATTAAAAAAAATTTTGTTTCTTTGTCTAAAATTTATTTCTAGTTTATTTTATAAAAAGAATAAGTATTTTTGAAAAAGTATTTTTTTTTAAATTGTTCACTAAATTCTTTGGTGTTTAACCTCCCGGAATTTATTTTTCATCAACAGAAATATTACGCACTATAACTGAATTGAACTATAATTATTGATAAACAATTATTAACATTATTTATACAAAACAAAAAGGAGTGTAAAATTTAATTCCCAATAAAGATTATCATTTTAAGCTAATAGGAAATCGAATTTTGTAATTTTTTCAAAAAAAATTTACTTATTTGTAAGAAATTTTTCAATTGCAAATTTTTAAATTATAATAAATAATATATAATATAGTGTATAATAAAATATATTATACAATTTAGTAATATAAAATATATGATAATAATATTAATAATATTTCACATATTTAAATTAGAATAATAAAGAAATAATAATAATAAAATAATAATTAAAAAAAAATAATAATAATAATAAAATTAAAAATAATGAATAAATAAATTAATTAAATTTGAATAATAGTGACGCTAAATTAGAGACGCTAATTTGAGAGAATAAAATTTGTTTAAATAAATAAACAATGTAATAAATAAATTTTGTATTTTTAATGATTTTCTATTAGAAAAAAATGAATTATTGGTAGATTCTAGAAAAAAAAAAATTCTTGGCACACTGAAAAATCACAAAGATTTGATTATAAATAAAGGGTTGATTATAAAAGTTCGAGATTCTTAATCCTAATATCTTATCGAGTATCTGTAAACATTTTTTTTAAACGAAGATTTGACATTTTTTATTTTATTTATTTTATTAAATATAATTTAATAAATATATAAATATTATATTAAATATAATAGTTAATATTTAATGATAAATAATATTTAATATTACATTTCTTTTATTTAGTCTTTTTTTTCAAATATTCATGTCAAATACCTTTTAAATTCTCACATGCTAAATAAACAATTTAAAATTTTTTAAAACTTTTTTTAACTTTTACTGTAAAATTTTTTACAAGCGAAAAAAATTGTTTCACTAAATTTTAAATAGGTAGAAATAAAAATTATTCTTCTACTTCTGATATTAGTGAAATTTTACTTTACTAATTGCATGAATATAATATTATACGAAATGTAAAATTTTTTTATAAGCATTCTAACTTTACTGGCACACTTGAATATTTATATCTAATAAATAGTATCATGACAAAAAAAGTATATAAAATTACAAAAAGATGTGAATAAATAACAAATAAAAAAATGTTAACAATATCTAAATTATTTTCTTTTAAAATTATTTTCAAAATTAAAATAATCTATTTAAACAGAGAAGGTTTTAGTAAAAATAAAAATATAAATAATAATAATAATAATAATAATAATAATAATAATAATAATAATAATAATAATAATAATAATAATAATAATAATAATAAAAGTAATAAATAAAATAGAAATAATAGAATAAAAATTAAATTTAAAAAAAAATAAATAGAAACGTACATAAAAATATTAAAAATAATTAACAAAAATTATGAAATAAAAAACGTAATATACATTATTTTACAATTATATATAAAAAATTAAACAAAAAAAATTTCTCCTACTCTAGGGATTGGCAATTCTTTAAGAATTCTCTTATTAAGTAGTAATACATTTTTATATATTATAAAAAGACAACAAACATTTTTAAAGTCTACGAACAAATTTTTAATTATTAGTAAAAACTTGTTTAAAAAAGTTGTTTGTTAATTTTACTTCTCATTATAATTATAGATATTAAAAACTTTTAATTTTCAATTTTCAAATTTTTTATTTGAAGTTTTGAATTGAAATTTTAGGTTTGCAACAAGTTTTCTATTCACTTTTGCAAGTAAAATTTTTGCAAATTTTTGCAAGTAAAATCGTTTCTTGCAATCTTGTTGCAAATATTCATTGCAAGCATAAAAATAAATTTAAAAATGAAATATTTTTTGAAAATTGCATTCCTTGCAAGCTTCTAATAATTCTTTGCAAGCTTGTAACAATCTCTCATCCCACGTCAAAAAAAAAAAAAAATTCTAAAAAAGTTCTAAATACCTCCGCGTTTCGGAAAAAGCTCATCTTTAATTAAAAAAAGCTCAAAATTGGTAAAAAAAAACCCAAATTTGATATTCGACTCTAAAAATTGTGAAATTAAAATTTCCAGACCAGCTTCGTTTTTCAAGATACAAATATTTTCTGGATCGGAAATAAGTTCTAAAAAATATCTGAGTACCTGCGTGTTTCGGAAAAAGCTCTTTTTTAATAAAAAAAGCTTCAATTTTTTGAAAAAAAGGCCAAATTTGAAATTTAACTTCGAAAATTGTAAAAATAAATTTACAAGACAAGCGTCGTTTCTAAAGATACAAATTTTTTTCTGAATTTGATATAAATTCCAAAAAAGTTCTCAGTACCTATGTTTTCTGAAAAAAGCTCTTTATTAATAAAAAAAACCTTCAATTTTATAAAAAAAGCCCAAATTTAATATTCAGCTCCAAAAAATGTGAAAATAAATAGTCAAGACCAGAGTTGTTTTTCGAGACACAAATATTTTCTGAATCGAAAACAAATTCTAAAAAAGATCTAAGTAACTTCGTGTTTCGGAAAAAGCTTTTGATTAATAAAAAAAGCTCCAATTTTATGAAAAAAGCCCAAATTTGATAATCGCCTCCAAAAATTGTTAAATATTTGTCAAGCGTCGTTTTTCAAGATACAATTATTTTTTTTGGATCGGAAATGAATTCTAAAAACGAATTGTTTCGCAAAAAGCTCTTCTTGAATAAAAAAAGCTCCCAATTTGATGAAAAAAAGCCCAAATATGATAATCGACCACAAAAAATTGTAAAAATAAATTAACAACTCCAGCGTCGTTTTTCAAGATAAAAATTTTTTCTTTTAATCGACGTGGGACGTCAAGTTTTGCAGAATCCTTTAACATCAAGCATACAACAAACTTTTAAGAAAATTTTTTTTAATTTTCAAAAAAAACTTTGTTATATTTTGTCATTTTGCCACGTCTGGCAAACTTTGCCGCAAGTTTCTCTGCAATCTTCCAAAGTTTTACCTCAAGTAAAATTCAATATTCAAAATTCTACAATTCCATTGAATCGAAACAAATAATTTCGCTTTTTTTTTATAAACAATATTTCTTTAATAATTCCTATCAATATTTTATATAGTTGTCACGTAATTAGCCTGTCGTTCCTCCTCAGTTGCCGGCGGTGGAAAAACAGTAAACGCACTGAGTCCATTTTCAATGAAACTCAATAGATTCTTCGCCGCACCATGAATTTGCGTTCGCTCCTCAATTTTCTTCTTCCCTCCAATATCACGAATTATCGCCCCCCTCGCATTATCATTAATCAATTTTTCATATTTCGTCTGCGCCCGTTTAGTGGTAGTGTCAAAAATTTCATTCGCCACCGGAAATCCATATTTACTCACAGTCGGCTTATAAGTCTTCACTTTCGAGTGTCCCTGAATTATCAGATACATTGGACCGCGAATTGGTTTCGCCGGTTGTTTATAGTGCGAAAAGAGTGGATCTGTGGTTAGATTTGGAACTGTTGTTGTTTGTAGTGAAGACAATGGGGTTTGATCGTTGATGATTGGTCGTTGGTCCTTTTTGATTGTATCTTGATTGTACTTGTTGGTTTCTTGACTGTTCTTCATTTCCTGATTGTCCCACATTTGATGGTTCTTCATTTCCTGATTCTTCCACATTTCTTGACTCATTTTTATTTCCTGATTGTTCCAGATTGGACTGTTCTTCATTTCCTGATTCTTCCACATTTCTTGACTGTTCTTCATTTCTTGATTCTTCCACATTTCTTGATTGTTCTTCATTTGCTGATTGTCCCACATTTGCTGGTTCTTTGTTTCCTTGTCCCACATTTGATTGTTCTTCTCCTGGACATTTTTTGTCTCTTGATTGTTCCACATTTCTTGATTATTCATCACTTCTGGTTTGTTCTTAATTTCTGGCTTGTTCCGCATTTCTTCACTGTTCAGTAACTGGAATAATGGCGATTGATGTCCGTTAGGAGGCTTGTAGCTATCGACCCTGATCGTCGGGGTGAAGATCGGCGACGCCTGAGTTGTGAACTCCTTCTCGTGATTCATTTGCATCGTCGGGGTCAGTAGTCCCAAAGGACTGATGAACTGGTTCGAATGATGATAATCGTTTTTCGGGTGTTTGACAAACTCTTGATTTTGGGGTTTGTACTCCTGAACACCAGTATTTTGGGGTTTGTACTCCTGAACACCAGTATTTTGGGGTCTGTACTCCTGAACACCAGCATTTTGGGGTCTGTACTCCTGATTCTGATGTTTTTGTTGTTCCATTAGCTGCGGCACTACCGAAGGCATTGCCGAAGGCATTATCGGAGACATTACCGGAGGTCCCATTGGTGACATAGGAGGTCTGAACCGGTGCATAGGTCTCTGCTGTGGTAACAATGACTCTCCGAAGGAATTTTGCTTAAACCCCGTATGTCTAGTCGGGGGCATTCTCTTCGGTGGTGAAAAAGCATTAGGCCGAAGTGTTTGGGTGTCCATAAAGTGTGGCATTATCGGCGAGCTGATACTGTTCCTAAACGGTTGGGGTTTCGGTACTTGAATGAAGTCCGTACTCAACGAGTCTGGAGAGCTGACGAATTCCTGGAATATCGAAGTGTCCCTGTGACCCATCGTCTGATGATTCATACCCGAAACTGTATTAGCAGTATCGAAGGACTTTGTATTTTGGATAGGTTTCGAGCTCTGGACAAACATTTCCGAACTAGACAGTAAATTCAATGCAGTAGTGCTTTCGGTCGAATTCGGCGAACTTTCGGTCGGTTTCTTGTCGTTGTAGTTCGTGGGCATTACCACAGAGACCACGTCGACAGTGGGGGGCGAATTGGCGACTACAATATGGGTCGAAGGTTTGTCGAAACCGCTATTCTGATACTTTACGGATTCGGTACTTGTTTCGGGGTTCGAACTAGTTGAAGATTTAGGTGCCTTGGTGGTTTTTGAAGATTCCTTATGACCCAGGACAACTTCCTCGTGGTCACTACTATCACCATCGACGATAATATTGGCGTTTTGACCAATAACGACCTCGTGATTGGCAGAAGCCGAAACGTGATGATCGACTTCGTAGCGATCCGGCGCCTTCCAGGTGATCTGATTCACTTCCACTGGAGGAATCGAAGACGTTGGTCTACTGGACCCGATCCAACCACCTTCTAAAGTTTGTGTCGACTGGTAAACGAGGTTCGATTTCTCAAAGGACACCGAGGGAGTCGTTGCTTCATAGCTTTTTGGAATTTGCGACGACGTAAAGATATTTTCAATCTGCGGAATAATCATAGTCTGGATTTTTTGTTTCGACTTCAAAGGCGATGGTGAAGAGAAGGTCGATCTGTAACCCTGTGAGTAGGTCTTCATCGGAGGATTATAATCCTGAAACGTAGGACCCTCCTCCGTCTGAGTACTAAACTGTTCTCCGAATATAATCTTATCCTTCATGTGATAGGAATTTTGACCATCATTCAATATTTTCTGATTCAACGGCGGTGGCATCATGACAGTGTAGGGTTTTGATTTTTGATTGTAAAACGGACTCGGATAATAACTCGCTGGGATTGATTGAATCTTGTTCTGATTTCGAAAATCAATTGGTGCATTGCGGAAATTATTGGTACGCATCAACTTTGGTGGTTCGGCGCCAGTGCTGCCGGTGAAATCGTTACGGAATATTGTTTCTTTATTGCGATTGAATTTCGGTGCGTCGACAAATTTTAGGAAATGCTCCGGCAGCTTGGGACTTGATTTTTTTGCGGTGACACCTAAAATGAGAATATCACGTTTCGCTGATGGTTCGGTTGTGTGTGAATCGAGCCAGTATTGAACACGATCGAGAACTGGTGGTACGTAGTCGAATGTGGGGTCGTTTTTTAATGGATCACCACGACCCAATGGTGTCCATTCATCGTAATCCATTCGCGGTGAAAATATTCTCGATCTACTGTCATTTTGTCCTGAAAAAGAAAAAAACGACATATTTTTATTTCTTCTGGTACTTTTAATAATAACAATTAAAACTAATTAATGGGTATAATAATAATAATATTTAATGTCAATTAATAGCAGTTATTGGTGCCATGAATTCTAAAGAAAATTTTTTTCTATTTCTGACAATAATTAATTTTAAATAACAAAATAAAAAGTGTGTTTTAACAAAAATTTATGGAGCAGATAATAAAAAATAGTGTGGCTTCCGTTTCCGGTACCGTTGAGTTGTGCACGCGTTTGTAAAGGTTTAAGAGTTTTTGGCAAAATTTTGAGTATTTTACTGAAGGGTGGGTAGTGTAGTGTTTGAGATAACAAAGGAAAGAGTGGTGGTGAAAGTAAAAAGAGTGTATGTGTGCGAGTGGTTAAGTGTGAGTGATAAAAAAGGTAAAAATAGAGAAGTGAATGTTGTGAGGTTAGGTTGCTTGAAGTGAGAGAAAAGAGAGAGAGAGACATTGGGAAATATTGAATGATAAGGTAGATTTCTGGAATGGCTGAATTTGATTCAAGTAGTGTGCGAGAGACTGAGAAAAAGGCGCCAATATTTAAAAGAGGGTTTGGGAAGAATGGAAAGGTGATGACGTGTGAAGACTGTATGGACTTGATGGAGTTAGTGGAAATGTTGAATGAGGCAATGGAAGAGCGTTTTGTGAGAGTGAGAAAGAATTTTGTAACGGTGTGTGAATTAGGTGATGAGAGGGGTAAAGAAATTGATGAATTAGATGAGGAAATGGAAAGGATGCAGGAAAAGTGGAAAAGGTGGGCGAGTGAGTTGGAAGGTATGAGAGAAAGAGTGGATGATTTGGAAAAATTTATTTTAGAGAAGAAGGAAGAGGATAAGAAAATGGAGGTTATGTTGAAAAAGGGGGTAAAAATGTGTAGTGAGGGAAGTGAAAGTGTATATTATGAACAAAAGGTGAATGAGCTGGAAAGAAGAGTGGAATGGATGGAAAAGGATAAAAGAAAAAGAAATATAATTATTAGGGGTATGAATGCAGGTTTAAGTGAAGGAAGAAGAGAGGTGGGGAGACTGGCTGAAAGGATAGGGGTGAAAATTAATATTAGGCAGATGAAAGCGATGAGTATGGATGCGAATGGAATTCCGAGGATGTGGTTAGTAGAACTGGGAAGTGAGGAGGAGAAAGAGGAGGTTATGAGGATGAAAGGAAGGTTGAAAGGATGTGTTGAGAGAATAGATGAGGATAGAACGTGGAGGGAAAGGAGAATAAGATGGTTACTGGGAGAGAAGGCATGGATCGAAAGAAGGAATGGAAGAGAAGTAAGAATGGGTAGGGAATGTGTGTGGGTGGATGGGGTAAAATGGTGCGTGAGAGAAGGTAATGGACGAGTGCTTGAGGTTGGAATAGATGATCGGGTGAATGGGGAGAAATGAAGAAGGACAGGAAGGAAGATGGAGGTTTAGGATTTAAAGGGGTGGGGCGTTAATGGGGAATCAGTCAGTATGGACAAAGGGAACTGGAAACGGAAGCCCTGGCACTGGCGAATTTTGAGTGGATGAGTGTGATGAGAATAGGTTAAGTTGCGTGTTGATTAAGTTGTTGATGTGGAATAAGAGCGACGTTATAGGTTAAGAAGTTTTGTACATATAGAATAAGTTGATTTGTAAATGTATCTGGGAGTCTCGAACCCTGCCTATTGCAGGGAGAGTAAATAAACACACAATAAAAAATAGTGTATTTATTACAAAAAGAAAAATTGGAAAATGGTATCAGAGAAATTTGATGTATATTACGGGACAAGCCACTCTTTTCAAGTAGTTTCATGTCTGACACGTGAGTTTACTATTTATGCTACCTCACTCGACTTTTGCCGCTCCGATGTCACTGTTACTCCCACGAGATGTTTCTCGTATCTGACATTCCTTTCAAATACTCTCTGTCTATTTCACTGAACAATTTTTGTTCTCAAAAAGATTTTCTTTTTTCTCCACCCGTCAAAGAGGGAATTTTTAAATTTTCCCTCTATTTGACATTTCAATATTTATATTTGTCACAATCTTTACAGTTATTTTTATTTATTTATAAATTATCAAAATTATATTATTTATAAATACAATTATTTTATAATAATAATCGAGATATTCTCTCTTCTACTATTTTTTATAAAATTTCCCGAAAGATTTTAATTATTAAACAAAAGTTTTTAAAAAATTCTGCATAAACTTTTAATTATTTCATTATTTTCAGTAATTCAATTATTTTTTAAAAATTTTAATAAAATTCATTGCAAAATTTCAATTATTTTCATAAATAACAATATTCATCAGAAGAATTTAATTATTTTAAAAGTGAATTAAATTCTTGGCAGAAATTCAATTATTTTTAAAAAATCTAAAAAAAATTGTCAACATTTCAATTGTCTTTATAAATAAATAACAATAATCTTCGACAAAGTTCAATTATTTTGAGGAATTTTAATAAAATTCATTGAAAAATTCAATTATTTTCATAAATAATTGAATTTATTGTAAAATTCAATTATTTCCATAAATAATTGTATTCATCACAAGAATTCAATTTTTTATAAAAGTAATAAATTTCTTCTTCGAAATTCAATTATTTAAACAAAATTCTAATGAAATTTTTAACTAGAATTCAATTATTTTCATAATTAAAAAAATGCTTTTTAGTAATTCAACTATTTTCAAAAAAATTTAATAAAATTCCACACAGACATTCAATTATTCTCAACAATTTTTAAAGAATTTTATTGAAGAATTTAATTATTTTAAAAAACTTTTCGCAAATTAAATGATTTTTAATATATACTATTTTCATAAAATTTCCAAACAGAATTTTATTATTTAAACAATTTTTTATAAAATTCTTTGCAAAAATTCAATTTTTTTTAATAAATAATAAAATTTCCACAACAATTAAATACTTTAAAACAAAATTTTTATAAAATTTTGATAAAAAAATCAATTATTTTAAAAAGATTTTTATAAAATTCTTCATAAGAATTTAATTATTTTTATAAATAATGGAATTCGTTGCAAGAATTCAATTATTTTTAAAAGAATTTTTTAAAGATTTGTTTCAAAAATTCAATTATTTTCATCATTAATTGAACTCATAACAGGATTTCAATTATTTTTAATACAATTTTAAATAAATTCCTCGAAAGATGCAATTCTTCTTTAAAATATTATTAAAATTCTTCGAAAGAATTTAATTATTTTTAAAAATTTGTATACAATTTGTTTTTTAGAATTTAATAATTATTTTCAACACATTTTCAATTAAATTTCATGAAAAAATTGAATTATTTGCAAAAATTTTTCGTAAATCAATTCTTTTCAATATCATTTATTTTAATTTGTAATAAAAAAATTTCCTATATAATTCAATTATTTAAAAAAAATTGTATGTAAAATTCTTTGCAAACATTCAATTACTTTCATATAAATAATTAAATTTTCACAGGAATTAAATTATTTAAAATACGATTTTTATAAAATTTTTTGAAAAAAAATAAATTATTTCTGAAAATTAAATTATTTTGAGGCATTTTAATAAAATTCTTTGCAAAATTTCAATTATTGTCAAAAAAATTTCACCAATTCAATGATTTTCAATATCTACTAGTTTAATAAAATTTTTCAAAAGAATTCAATTATTTAAAAAAAAAAATGTAGACATAATTTTAAGCAAATATTAAATTATTTTCATAAATAATAAGAATTTCACAGGAATTCAACTATTTACAAATTTTTTTTAAATTTCTTCGCAATAATTCAATTATTTTCATAAATAATAACATCTTTTAAAAGAATTCAATTATTTTCATTGAATAATAAAACTCATCATAGAATTTCAATTATTTTTAATACATTTTTAATTGAATTCCTCGAAAAATGTAATTATTCTTGAAAATTTTATTAAAATTCCTCGAAAAAAATTCAATTTTCATGATAAAATTCTTTATGATAATTCAATTTCGAGAAATATTCATTTATTTAATAAATTATTTATTATTGCATTTAAATAATTGAATTCTCGTAGAATTTTCCGATAAAAATTGATTTAAAAATGAATTTTAGATAATAATTCTTTTGAAAACTTTTATTAAACTAGTAAATTTTGAAAATTTTTGAATTTCAACGAAGAATTTCATTATTTGTGAAATGTAATTTAATTCTTGCAAAAAATTTTTGAAGAAAATTATTTTCTGTTCGAAAATGAAAAGAATAAGAAGAAGAAGCTGGGGCAAAAGGTAAAAGTTATTAAATCTTTGATTGTTGAGAGATGTTTTGAAATTTAACACAAGAGGATATGTTTCTGAAATGCTTATCTCTTGGGATGCTGTTGATGAACAATAATTATTATCTATAAAGGTCTATGAGCACAGTAGAAACCGCTTCTCTTACTTGCGAATATAATAGTCAGAGAAAACGTCGCACGTGCTCTTAAGAGCCATTATTAAAATTCCTTTTGTAAAATTTCACATTAAATATAAATACGTCTGTTTGTGTGTATAGAACGTCACATTCTTTAGATTATAATTCATATCTCTCGATGGTACTAAATAGACCCGATGAGACTGTACAGGAACATGAAAAATTTCGCACAAGGAAAGCTTCTTTCCTTGTGAACGAGAGAAGAGAGGAGATTTTAATAATAGAAACGATTCATTTCAAGTGACAAACTCATCTATATGCATTTCTTTATTCTATCTAGAGAAAATTTCACAAGAAATCAAGAAAATTTTTCAACACGTGTTTACTGCGTGGAAAATTAATCTTACTTTCAGTCCACTTCGGACTGAAACTATTTTAATTTTTTTTTTACCAAAAATTTTAATGAATTTCTTCGTAAAAATTTAAATATTTTCAAAAAATTTGATAACAATCTTTATAAGAATTCAATTAAATTTAAGAAATATTCAATTATTCAATAAAATATTAATTTTTGTATTTTAATAACTGAATTCTCTTAGAATTGATTTA